TATTTTGGTTGTGACGTAAAAAAAGTATGTTCTCTCTACATCTGAAAAGGTAAACCACTTAATCTATGAAATATTGGCATGTATAAATAACTTTAACCTATTTCAAGTGAAAGGCTAATATATACGGTTTCCTATTTCACAGAAAGAACAATCAACATACTATCGCAAGATGGTATTGAGTAAGGGAAAAGAATTCAGTATTCTTGTTAAGATTGATAGTAAATTCCCAAATGTTGAGACAAACATGAATGTGATAACGATGGAGATACATGAGGTTTCCAAAAAATTACCAGCAGATCAAACCAAGGTTAAAATGCTGATTAGAAAACAGTGAAGCAAGAGGATGAAGAAATTAAGTGATGATGAAAAAATGAAAGAAATAGTTGCAGGCATAACTCATGTTGAAAAAGATATTGCGGCAGTTGAAAACTGACATTGAAAACCCACAAAAAGAAAATAGATGCAAGAGGACTAAGAATATTAAGTAAGTCATTGCAGATGATAATCCACAGGAAGTGAGGATACATAAGGTAGCAAAGCAGAATGTACTAGATCAAAGTGACGACGAAGCCCCACTAATTCAACTACAAAGAAAAAGGACTAGGAAGGTTAAAGGAAAAAACATCATGCCCGATCCGATGGAAAAGAAGATCAAAGAGGAAAAAAACAATATATAATTGATTTAAAATTTCCTTATTTTTATCTTCCAATGTTTATTATGTCCCTATAATTTAAAAGCTAAATACCTTTTTTCACCGAGCAACTTCACCTAACATCGTTTTTATTTTTAACTTACTTTCCTATATCAATGAATTTTGTTAACTGCTTCACTAAACATTAAATGTATGCAATGTATTACTTCAAAACAGATCAACAACAATCTTCTGATGCAATCTATACCCTCATACATATAAAAGGTTTGCATACATCCTACCCTATAATAGATGTCTTTTCCTATATATGTCAAATATATGGCTACAATTACCATTAATGATTCCGTTATGTTTTAGATCACTACTAAATTACATATGCTAAATGAGACGAAATAAGAGAAGTGTCACACCAACAATCCAAATTTTATCACCATAAAATCAACAATGACACACAACCAACAATCAAGGTAAACCTAATATGTTAAGAAGCTATCACAGTTAAAAAATAAATCTAACCCTTCTAGTCACTTCACTTCACATGTGATACAAATAGCACCACTCCTTTTATGTCAAATCAAACAGGTGATAAAGGAAAAAGAATTCTTTCTACCAGTAAAACTTATCATCATGACAAGCATACCAAAAAAATTTCAGCAACACAGGTAAGAACTTACATAATCATGTAAAATCTAACTTACATGAGTAGTTAGTACAACACGAATATATTTGCATATATACATACAAAAATATTACAACCTTTGTCTAAATGTACCAAAATATGTTCCTCTTATAGAGAAAACTCAATTGCAGCAACCCAAACAATAGCACATCTAGAAGATGAACATCCACGTTTGAAAAAGCAGCCTAAGATTAATTGGCTATTTAGAGCATTATCTAAAGAGTCTGAAGCTAGAGGTACATTGGAAAAACCCTATTCATATCTTACATAACTTGAACATTCAATAACTTTATGAAATTAGATTTCTAACATATATCTCTAAAATATTTGTACATATAGAAATTGTTGCTTATAAATTATCTTTATCAAATCAGCACGTGCTGAAAATCGTCCCAGAATGTATTTATTCTGCTGCAAAAAGATTAGAACATGAACCTCCAGCATTCTGTTGTACAAGCAGATAAATTAAATTGGCAAACACTAAAGCACCAACAGAACAATACAAAATGTTTGTGGCATCTACTCCAGACGCGGTGGATTTTAACAAAAATATCCGTTCATATATAGCATCTTTGATTTTAAAACTTTTGGTGTTAACCTGGATAAGGAACTAGCATCTGCAAAAAAAAAGTATATACATTCATGGCACAAGGTCAAATTTATAACGATCTACCATCATTGGTACCGCATGATAACAATCCCTGTTACTTCCAACTATACTTATTTGATACAGACAATGAATTGACCAACATGCTATCAAAGGTGAATGAAGGAATTCTTTTAGACCAAATTGCAAAAAAAAAAAAATCAAACAGGTAATGGAGAGTAACCCATATGCACAAATATTTTGCGAATTAAAAAACCAAACAAGTTTCAACTTCGTATTGCTGCAAATGCATCTTTGGATCAACGAGTGTACAATAGACCCTCAGTAAGTCAAGTAGCAACAATTTGGATCGATTGGAACAATCCAAATACACCTTTTGATCGAGAAATAATTTTTCATGAGCATTCAGGGTACAAACATAGAGTAAAACACTATTTTGGTTGTTATGACCCTCTTCGATATCCTTTGTTATTCCCAAGAGGTGAAGGTGGTATGGAATCAAGTAATAGGAAAACAGAGCAAAAGACTACTTTACAAAAGAAATGCTCACTCACCACCTATAGTCAATGATATTCCAACATTCATATTAGTTGATACAATATTAGCCAATGAGGATCAAGGTAAAATATATCACATTATGCTCTCTTATAGCAAAAATTTAGTCATGTTCTTCACAAGTTAGAACCTGATAAAAAACACATACACGATATAAAATAATACTACCAAAGGCGTACAAAATACAATTATAAGAAAATATACTTTTCTATTATACCAATATGGTAACTAACATAAAATAAAAATAATATTAATATGATTCCTTAAACTTGTAGATGTACGCCGTGAGACAAAGGGAAATGTTTCTTGCAGAGAGTACTATTGTTAGAAGCTACAACTACGAGAAATAGAGAGGTCAATATTACTATTATGTGGAAGATTACTACAAAAATTTGTGGTTGACATGTACATAAAATTGAAAATAACAAGGTTAGAATATTTCAGAAAGGAACAATCAAATTTTAGAAGAGAAGTTTATCAAGGTATTGTTGATTGTATCAGCGCGGGAGAATGCAGGGGAGATAGAATTGGGCAAAGAATATTACTTCCATCATCTTTTATTGGGGGGCCACGAGATATGAAAAAACTCTATGTGGATGCAATGACTTTGGTATAATATTTTGGCAGGCCAGATCTATTTATAACAATGACGTGCAATCCTGACTGGATTGAAATCTAACAAGAATCGCGCCCCAGACAGACTCCTCAAGATAGACCTGCTGACAAGAGTATTCAGAGCTAAGTTGCAAGATCTAAAAGATCAATTTTTCAAGAAAGAAATATTTGGAATTGCTGTTGCTCATGTATTCGTGGTAGAATTTCAAAAATGGGGACTACCACACATACACCTCCTTCTCATATTAAAAGAAGGGAACAAGATCAAATCAGGAGATCAATACATAGGTTTATCTCAGCAGAGATGCCAGATAAATATGAGTATGCTATATTTCATAAATTAGTGCTCATGCATATGATGCATGGTCCATGTGGAAACAAACGTCCAACAAACACATGTATGCAAAATGGACAGTATAAATATCATTATTTAAGGCCATACAACAAAAAATCAATCCAAGCAAAGGATGGATATCCAATTTATAAAAGAAGAATGGGTGGAAGAATAAAGATTGCTCGTGGAATGAATATGATAAATCAATAGGTGGTACCTTATAGCCCTTATCTGCTTACAAGATACAATTGTCACATTAATGATGAGGTCTGCTCAGGAGTCAAAGCAATAAAGTATCTATACAAGTATATATATAAAGGTTATGATCGATATGTAATTTATGTTCAGTCTGACGATAGTGAAATTGTTATTGACGAAATGCAAACATTCCAAAATGCAATGGGTCTCACAACTTGAAGCACTATGGAGAATATATGAATTCAACTTGATTGAAATGCAACCTGCAGTCATCAACCTTCAACTACATCTGTCAGGAAAACATTCAGGTACACATATTAATGCATTATAATGCACATTTACTCTAAAGAATAATTATAATTTTCAAATACAAATACTGACTCAAAACAAAATCACATTGTTTTACTGGCAAAATCAAAATTTAAAAAATGTTATCGCCTGGGATGGTGTCAAGCAAACAATGTTTGACCGAGTATTTTAGAATGTGATCAATTGAATCTGAAGCAAAAACATATCTTTATAGCGAATTCCCAAAGTACTATGTTTGGAATTCAAAGGTAAAAACTTGAACAAAAAGGAAAACATGATCTGTAATTGGTTGCATTGCAATCGGTAAGCCGAATATAGTAAGCTATAAATTCATATACATTGATAATTTTTAAACTTATTAATTATTACATATGGATTATATTTTACAGCTAATCCTCCAGAAGGGGAAAGGTATTATGAGCGGTTGTTACTAAACCATGTAAGGGGACCACTGTCATTCAACGACTTATTCACGGTCAATGGTAAGCAATGTCAGACCTTCAAAGAAGCAACCAAAGATAGACGGTTACTTGAGTCTGACAACAACATATCAGAATGTTTAAGAGAGGTTGTTGTCTTCAAAATGCCATTAGCTCTCAGAAGTTTGTTTGCTACAATTTTGGTTCATTGTAACCCAACAGATATTAGAAAACTCTGGGAAACTTATTATGAGGATACGTCGGAGGACTTCAACAGGCTATATATCAATTCACACAATACTATACTACAGTCTACTCTGAATAGTATTAATAATTGCTTGCAAAGTATGGGCAAGAGCATAGGCATATATGACATTCCTCAACTAGATCACAATTTCCTTGAAGTTGGTTCATCAGAATGTAGAGAAACAAATAAAGAAATGTCCATGCATATACCAACAGAATATTTTGATGCACAGTCACAATTAAATCCAGAACAACATCATGTTTTTACAAAAATAATGCAAACAATCGAAGCTGGAACACCGGAATATTCTTTGTGGATGGACTCGGGAGACCTAGTAAAACATACATACCCCGTGCATTACTTGTCAATGTTAGATCAAGAGGTATGATAGGTTTGGCAACAGTAACCATTGGTGTAGCTGCTTCAATCTTACGAGGAGGACGTACAACATACTCGAGGTTTGAGATCCCTCTTCAAACAAGTGAATCAACTATGACAAACATGTCAAAGCAAAGTGATGCTGCCAAATTGATTAGAAAAGCAAAACTGATTATATGGGATGAAGCACCAATGGCGAGACGACAAACAATAGAAACAGTCGACAAGAGCTTCAGAGACATAATGGACATCGATAAACCATTTGGTGGAAAAGTCATGGTTTTTGGAGGAGATTTTCTGCAAGTGTTACCAGTAGTTCCAAAATCAACTCGAGCAGAAATTGTAAATGCAAGGTTGGTCAAATCATATCTCTGGCCTTTGATGGAGAAGATTCAATTTATAAAAATGTGAGAGCAAGAACAGATCGAACATTCAGTGAGTTCTTACTTCGATTGGGTAACGGTGATGAACCAACAATAAGAGAAAATTTAATCCTCCTCCCAGAACAATTAACAATCAAACATTCTCAAGATGAAATTCCAGAAGAACCCATAATAAAAGAGATATTTCAAAGCCTGCAAGAAAATGCTGCTACAGCAAAATACGTCAATGAAAGAGCTATTTTAGCAAGCAGAAATGACCATGTGGATAAAATTAACGACAAGTTAATATCTCAGTTTCCAGGGGAAAGCAAGATATTCAATAGTTTTGACTCGGCAGAAGATGACACCAACAACTATTACCAAGAAGAATATCTAAATATTTTAACACCAAACGGTCTCCCACCACATAGGTATTGAACAAAATACATTACAGCATACAAGAGGCGGTAAAAATATAAAAATGGATAGATTTTGACACATCTTATTAACTGCAGGTTAGAATTGAAGGAAAATGCACCTATCATGTTGCTAAGAAATTTAGACCCTTCAAGTGGCTTATGCAATGACACACGAATGATATGTCGAGGCTTCTCCCAATATGTCCTGCATGCAGAAATATCAAGTGGTCATTCTGCAACGAAACATGTGTTTCTTCCAAGAATACAACTATCACCACCAGAAATGAAGGATATCCATTTAAATTCATTCGAAAGCAATTCTCCAATGCCTTTTCTTTGCAATGACTATAAATAAAGCTCAAGGTCAAACAATTCACAATGTTGGTTTGTATTTGCCCCAACATGTTTTCTCACATTGTCAATTGTACGTGGCGCTATCAAGAGGGATATCTCTGTCCACAACAAAAGTACTTGTCCTAACAGAGCAACCCAAGCGTCAAAAAGGAACATACACAAAGAACATCGTCAACAAGAAAGTTTTAGGTACGATAACCCCATATACATATATGGTCATTCTAACATATAATTAACTATTTACAGATAGTATGTACTAACAATATTACATTGCTTTCAAATCCCAGGTTTAGAAGACGCAGACAAACCTATGTAAACATAATGGATTCTTCAGCAATCCATACTCTTCAATGCGTTAGGGTTATTTTCGGAATAGTTCTTTCAGTACTATTATTAGCTTTCCTAATATTATATTCTATTATAATGTTTAAATATTAGTATTATTAATAATTTACAGTAGTACTTCTGTTTAAACACTTCATATTAACTGCATGTTATCGTTCCTACTTATTATTAAATGGATAAGTGAAATGTTTTTCACTATACAACATCACTAATACCTCATGTAATCATCAAAAGAAAAATAAACACAATGTACGCTTCTACTACATCAATAATAATTTACCCACTCATGACAACACTACTTTTTACAAATATCTCTTCACAGAGAATGATATAACTTACCATGGCTCACACGTGCACCTGACTAGTATATATATATATATATATATATATATATATCCTACAGTCGTAAACAAGCTGTATAGGTAACCAAAGAGTGAAATACAAGTAAGTTCCTAGAACAATGTAGTCTAGAATATCATAAATATATTTAGAATCTTTGAAGATTCTATGATAGGACAATCCTTCATCTCTGCTAAAACTAACTAGCACTTCTCTTTTTCTTCCTACTAATTCCCATAAGGTTGACAAATAGAATGTATAAAAAGCTATGAAATTTTAATCTTAAATATACTTCAAGGTATAAAAATAATTAAATTAAGAATTTATATATATATATATATATATATATATATATATATATATATATATATATATATATATATATATATATATATATATATATCCTACAGTTGTAAACAAGCTGTATAGGTAACCAAAGAGTGAAATACAAGTAAGTTCCTAGAACAATGTTGTCTAGAATATCATAAACATATTTAGAATCTTTGAAGATTCTATTATAGGACAATCCTTCATCTTTGCTCAAACTAACTAGCACTTCTCTTATTCTTCCTACTAATTCCCATAAGGTTGACAAATAGAATGTATAAAAAGCTATGAAATTTTAATCTTATATATACTTCAAGGTATAGAAATAATTAAATTAAGAAGAATAATATGGGGAAAATATTTAATGATAATGAATATATTAAATCAACAATGGTATAAAATAGACTTACGAGATTTAGACTATGAAAAAATAGAATGGTATGATTTAGAAATAAATTCAGATTAAAATGAACTATGAATATTCACAATATTGGATATAATCTATGAAAAATACAAAATTATTAAAATAAATAATGGAGGAAAATTTATATGTCCCATAGGACCCAAGATATGTTATATCTCGAATATATCATAAATAATATTAAAGAAATATTTAGATTAAAACCAAGGATGAATTTCTTAACTACCAATTCTGTTACGACCATACAAAGATGGTATCAGAGCTATGGATAGTACGAAATATAGTAAGAAATATACTAGTAGAGAGTTGAGAAAAATAAGAAGAAAATTAGATAAACTATATTCGAAATATAAACTCAATATCACAAATACTGATAACATGAAATTAAATCAATTAATAGATAATATATATAAAATAGAATATAAATATATTCAATATTTAATATACAATGAATAACAAGAATAACAAATACAAAGAAAAACTTACTGAAATAATTATTTCGAAAATACAAGAATTAGGACATAGAAAAAATAGACTTAATAATAATATATTCGCAAGAATTTGTAAAAAATCTATAATAGCACAGAGAAAACTATTTTTTATCTAAAAATACAAATAGAAAGATTAGAATATAAACTTCAATACAATCTATAAATGAATAAGGAAGAATACGCGATAGATGAAAAAACATATGAAAACTATGATGGATCAAAAATTAAAATAATATTTTCTAATCTAGGAAGAAGATATAAGAAAATAGGTGAACAATCTAAATTTAATGTTAGAAAAAGAAACGGTAAAACTAGAAGATAGTTTAACTGCTATAATAAGAATAACAAAAGAAAATGAAGAAATAGATAGAAAAATGGAAATCGAAAAAATAAAACAACAAGCAAAAAGAGAAGTACAACAATTAGAAGAAGTAAAAAGTACGAAAATAATATTGCTAGAAAAAGAGTTAGCAATATTACAAGAAATGTATGAAATTAAACAAAGAGAAAAAGAACAAAAAAACAAAATTAGCAAATGAGATAATTAAATTCAAAGAAAAATTGCAATTAGAAGACGAATTAGAAGAAAAAGAAGGAAATAGCCAAGATAATCTACCCGAACTGCGAATTGATGAAATACACAACGATGATCTAGAACAACATTCGGAAACAAGCGAAACATATACAGAAATTTTAGCAAATGTAGATAATGCAAGGAATTTTAAAATAACTACAGAAAGCGTAGACATGGATGAAAAACCTAGCACATCAGTAAAAAATCCAAAAAATTCAAATCCGAAATATTATAATGAAAACTATGAACACTATGATACAGAAAAAAAATATATGAGATAAAAGGTTGAATAAAAAATGGACACATAAACCAATAACTGAACAACATAATTTTCTAGATTTAGACTGTGTGGAAGATATAAATAAAACAATCCAATTATGGATAGGATATATATCAAAACAATTAATAGATAACAAAATAGTAATAACAGAGACACCAGGATATATAGAGAGAACACTTATAGGAACAGTAAAATTATGATTACAAAATTTATCAGATGAAAGTTTAAAAACTTTAAGAAGTAATAAAAAATCTAGTGGTGAATTAGCTACTACAACTATGAAAATATTATATAAATATGAAGTAGCTATAAGAAATGAATTTAGCAGTTTGACAACAGATATAGAAGAACAAAATAAAGAAAAAAAATCATAAATCGAAATCTAATGATAAAATTAATAATATGTAATATGTGTTACATAGATGAATATACATGTGCATTTAGGGAATACTATTATAAAGGAACATATTGCACATAAGAAAGTAAAGAAATAAGATAATTATATTTTATAAAATTACCAGAACCTTTTAATTCAAAAGTCATAAAAAGTTGGAACGAAGCAGAATTAATAGATACCTTAGGAGCTAGAATAAAATTCTTGCAACGATGGTTTATGGAACTATGTGAAAAACATAAAGACGAAGTAAAAATAGAAAAATTTTTAGTAAAAAATTTGGCATGTTGCAAAAACAAAACAACACCTCAATTTGGTTGTACGGATAGGTATGATAAAAATAGAAATACTAAAAAATACAGATCAATATACAAATATAAAAAACTGAGAAGAAGATACTATGTAAAAAACTACAAAACCAAAAGACCATATAGACCAAAAAGAAAACTAACAGAATGTACTTGTTATAATTGTGGAAAATTAGGATATATAGCCAGAGACTGTAAATTACCTAAAAATCCAAAGAAAAAACAAATATCAGAAATAATTATAAATGATGAAAAATATACGCATATAGATATGGATAACGATATAGAGATGAAATCAGATAATGAATTCTATAATACAACAAATGAGTGAAACAAATTTACAAATAATAACTAAAGAAGAACATCAAAACGAAGAATCCTTAGAACAAAAAATAATATTTGATAATAATATATTTGAACAAATAAAAGGAAAAGAATTAGATCTACACATTGCAAAAATATTTGAAATACCAACAATAAGAAACCGGTTTAAACGAAAAAAAGAAGAATATTATGTAGTAAGTCAAAGAGAACATATCATAGATTGCAAATACACTAAATGAAAGGCCAAAATACCAATAATAAATAAAAGAATAATAAATAAAGAAATACAAGACATTAAGGATACAGATCCAATTAAATATGTACATTTAGAAGGAACAGAAATACTAATAAAAGTATGTCTTAGAGAAGGAATAGATACACCCATAGAAATATACTTAGCGGATGATAGAATCATACAACCCATAGAAAAAAGTATAATAAGTGCAGTAAAAGGTAACCTCATATACCAAAAATTTAAATTTATAATAAGTGAAAACTATTCAGTACAAATAAATAACGACAACATAGATAAATCACTAATATTATATTGGAAAATATCGGCAATAGAACTAGACCCCAGAAGTAAAATATTTACAGCTAGATGTAAAAACTTATATGTTTTAACAATAAAACATAAAATAACAGTAAAAAAAAAGTAGAAGATCCTTTTGAAAGGATAGTCACAGTCATAGATAAAAATGATTATAGTTATAATGACATTGATATAGAAGAAGACTTAGAAATAGTAAAAGAAAGATTAACCACATCAAAAAGAATAAATTGTGAAATAACACAAATATCATAAAAAATGAGTACCTCAAAAAGAATAGATAAAACTTCACAAAAATTAATGGAAGATGAA